ATGAATAATGGTTCTATGGAACGAAAAGGTAAAATTTGTTTTAAACAACTGAATTATAGGGCGAAGGAGCAAATGACTTTCGATCATGATGCTCTCGGCCCTCCATAAGGACTTATCTGTCGGCAAAAGCTGGGACTGACAGTGCAACCGTGAGGGTCACATGGCTCTAACTTTAGCTCAGTAATAGGACATTTTCTAGCTTGTTAGAGGTTACCTTTATGGCGCAAAAGGGGCTTGCCACGTTGGGTATAGGGCTGCCTCTGTTCCTATGTGTATAGCCGCGAAGGATTTGTGCCATAGGAAAGGGGGGGTTCCTACATCTGCCTTCCAAGGAAACCTAGCGGCCCTAACTTGTTAGAGAAACCTATGAAATGGCTTCATAGTGTACCCCGTCCGCTCACCTTGGTAGTGTTTTGGGAGTAATTAACCCGGGCATAGGGGAAACACGACTCACGGTGAATGTGCATAACCTCTGCAGAGGGTTACAAACTGTTATAACAGCCGTGCTCACGGTCATGAGCGGCCCGGAAAACTCACAGAATAAATGGTTATTTAATGCTGTTCATTTATGATGTTCTACGATGATAATATGATTCAATTGATTCTGATATCTGATCATGTGGGTTTAATTGGGGTTTAAGCATAACTTGATAATAGTTAATGATAAAATCCTGACTTACTAAAAGTGCTAACCGCAGTAAACCAGAGTCATCCTTTTTGAGCTTTCATAACCCCATGTTATCTTGTTAAGTACGGGAAGTACTTACGCTTGTTTACTTTCTATATTTGGATAAAAATCCCAGATTGGTAACATATGTCAATGAGTATGAGGAGTTTCCAGAGGACTTTTAGGCTTGTGGTCAACCAGTTGACCATCCCTGTGTTGGAGCTTCCACGAGAGAACTACTTTCTTTTATTTTCTGTTGTGTGGTGTAAGACTATGTTATGGTATTAATTGTGATGTAAGATACACCGTGATGATACTTTTGTAATTTGTTGACTTATGTGTGTGACTGATCCCTGGGCACACATGAGCTTTATGCATTCAATTTTATCCTTAAAATTGGGTGTGACAATGGTGAATTGTTCTTAGTTGCTTTTATTTGTTGCTTGTATGTTTGCCTATGCGTGGTGCTTGCTATGAGTAGAATGAGAATCATTTGTGAGCGATGAAGACCGGAAGGTGATAACCAGAAGCAAATTATGAGGAAGTTTGATCAAGTGTAAAAGGCAAGTATAGTATAAGACCATCCTTGTTGCCTATTCACTATTAATCATTTAATTCATACTGCATGTGTCTACCTTGACTGCCACTAAGGATTTCCTAGTACTTTGTTACCCTGTACCTTCATACCTTTGGGTTATTGCATTGGGTAGTATGATGCTAGTGCTCAATTAAAGACTATGATCTTGTAACTTGACTAATGGTATATGCAATAAACATTAAAAGATGCTTTTTAGCAACATGGAACAAGGGGGCTAGAGGATTGGGCTATTTATGGTGCTCTAGATTTCTCTCCCTAAGGCTATTTATGGAAGAAGGGGGTCAAGAGGCTGATCACCTCTAGCGAAAGGGTAAATCACGACTCACAGTGAAAGTGTACAACCTCTGCAGAGTGTAAAACTGGTATATCAGCTGTGCTCACGGTCACGAGCGGCCTTAGAACATTTATGGAATAGAAGATGAACACTGATGATAAAAATGCTCACTAATGATTACTATTTTTGCTATTCATTATTCATGTTTACCTGATCATGTGTTTACGGGCTTGTGATAAACTTGTTGCTACTCAATTGCTAAAATCATGATTCATTAAAAGCTAATCGCAGTTAAACCAGTGTCAGCCTTTTGAGCCTCATGAACCCCATGTTATATTTGTTGAGTAGGACATGTACTTACGCTTGCTTTACTTTTTAAATCTTTGGATAAAAATCCCGGATGGGTACCAGTTTGCTAGAGTTTGGAGGAATTAGGCTTGTGATCAACCAGTCAGTTGTCCCTGTGGAATTGGAGTCTTCACCCGAAGATCGGAGTTGTCTTTCCGCTGTTTGCTATCTAAGGTTATATTCTCTATACTAAATATGTTATATATTGAGCATTGTCTATTGATATTACCCTTATTTGTAGCTATATGTGAGATTTGACTTCCTAGGCTCACATATGGTGTGTATCTGGTTTTGTTCTTAAAACCGGGTGCGACAGTGTGATTTGCGTGAGCCATGGAAACATGTACATGGGGGGTGGAGGAGGTGTGTCTGAGGTGCAAGAAGGGACTCGGGCTAGCATGAGGTGTGTCTGAGGTGCAAGAAGGGACTCGGGCTAGCATGTTTCCATCTTGTCTATGTGGCCACCTCCTTGTGATTGTGCTAGGGAGTGATCCTTTTATAGGCAAGCTCTAGGATAGTGGGGTGATGACCAAGGTGTGTCTAGACACTGCTGGCAGATGTTTTGAAGGAGCACTTCTCAAGTGGTGACCCTGCATGCTCACTCAAAGTTGAGAAATTTCACTTGCAACTTTGACTATGCCATCAGGGTTTAAATGGCAGGTTTGCTTACATGCTACTCCCTTTGTTCCTTTTTACAAGGCGCGTCACTGATATATTAGAGACGACTTACAGTAAGACATGTCTCCAATATTGTGTTATCACAGATGGTTATTTGGATGTGCGGCTGTGGACTAATATTTTAGAGATGGTTCTTTATATCACCCGTCTGTACTATTTATTTTGTGACAGTTAGTGACGACCATCTTTCGTGAACATGCCACACCCAATTTTAAAGATAAAATGGGATGCATAATCTTATGTGCGCCTAGAGATCAATCACATACATAAGCCGACAAATTATAGATAGTATCATCATAAGTGTTTATTACAACATGAATAATATGGCACAGTTTTTACATAAATATAGCGGAAGTATAAAGATAACTCTCTCGCGGGAGCTACATAACATAGGGACGTCAACTGGTTGACCACAAGACTAGTAATCCTCAGAAAAGTCGTTATTACCATTGCAATCTATTACCCATACGGTATTTTTGTACAAATAATGAAAATAAACAAGCATAAGTACATGTCGTACTCAACAAGTGTAACATGGGGTTCATGAGGCCCAAAAGGCTTGACACAGGTTTAACAGCATTTAGCTTTTTGTTGTCATAATTTTAGCATAAGAGCAGCATCAAGTTGTCATAATCCCAAATTAAAACACATGATCAATGTAAGCATGAGTAATATATAGCAAAAACAATTAATTAATAGTGATCATCTATTTCATAAGGGTTCCAAGGCCGCTCGTGACCGTGAGTACAACTGATACACCAGTTTTACACTCTGCAGAGGTTGCATACTTTCACTGTGAGTCGTGTTTCCCATTTGCCCAGGGTTTGCAAGTCCCCAAAACACTACCAAGGTGAGCAGGCAGGGTACACTATGAAGCCTTTCAAAGGTTCATCTAACAAGTTAGGGCCGCTAGGTTTCCAATTGGCAAGCAGATGTAGGAAACCCCTTTCGAATGACATAATTCCTTCATGGCTATACACATAAGAGTAGAGGCTGTCCTATACCCGACTCGATAAGCCCCTTTTGCGCCATGAAGGTAACCACTAACAAGCTAGAAAATGTCCTCATACTTGACTAAAGCCAGAGCCATGTGACCCTCATAGTTGTACTGTAAGTCCTGGATGATCACTTACAGATAAGTCCTTAGGGAGAGGAATCTGAAGCATTTAGAAAGTAGCTAAATACTCTAGCCCCCTTTTTCCAAGTTGCTAAAAAGTCATGTTTTAATGTTTATTGCATATACCATTAGTCAAGTTACAAGATCATGGGTTCGTTGAGCACTAACATTAGCTACCCAATGCATATCCCATAGGTGACAATGTATAAGTACAATTCTAGGAAATCCTTAGTTCAAGGTGACACATGTAGATGAATTAAGTGTATCATGGTTAATAGAAAATAAGGATAGTCCCATGCTATACTTTTCTTGATCAAAGTGTTCCTGTTGATCCTGCTCGTCAAAGTAGTACTCTTGATCACCCACGAATTGCTCACCGTCTAAATTCGATCATCATAGCAATATACAAGCATCCAGAAGCACTCATGCATAACAAACAACGGCTATAGATTAGAACAGTACACCAACAGCATAAAATCAAGATGAAAGTTCGAAGATCACGAAAATCAGAGCTATAACGAAGAAGTTATGAATTAATCAAGATTTCCTTTAATAAAATAATAAATTAAATCTAACCTCGAATTTCAAAAGTTGAAAACATGTTTAACAGTAGGATAAACATGTAGATTACGTAATTACGAATCTAACGCAACTTGAACGGACCAAAACGGAATTAAAACGAAGATTTTATGGCTAAAACAAGATCAGTGGTAAATCTACAAATAAAGAAAACGTATTTTAAAACTAATAGAGGGAAACTACGCTTTTAGAATAGGAAAACGTATTCTAGGAGTACGCCATGGACTGCCGGTTTAGACATAGAAAATTGCAGGGGCTCTTTAGCAAATAAGCCAGGCGAAAGGGTATCGGCCAATCTGGACCGTAGGATCTAAAGGGGACGGTGCAGATGAGATGGGAGGGAGAGAGAGAGAGAAAAGACAGCCTGCTGGAACAGTGCCAGACGCGGCGGCTGCCATGACTGGTGGTGATCGAGCTCGCCGGCGCACATGGTTAGGGCCCTAGAGGACACGGTTTGATGAACCGAGAGCACCGGATCAAAGAGGAGACGAAGGCGAACCCACCAAGGCAACTTACAGTGGCGAGGAGCGGATGAAAGCGGCGGGCTGCGGAGTGCCTGTGAGCAACGATGACATGGCGTGAGTGAACCGGAGTGAGAAAAATAAAAAGAAGAGGCTCAGCGGCTTCGTAACATCGATGCGAAGCTCAGAAACGGCTTACGGTGGCGGCGGAGCGGCAAGGCGAGTACGGCGGCGTCGAGCTTCTACTCGGCAAGATCCAAGCGACAGCACTAGGGCTCATGGCGGCGTGGCGGCTTGCGTTTTTGGGTTTGGTGAGGGCGGCGGGGTGCGGGGGCTCGATATTTAAGGAGCCGGTGGCGTAGGGAGCACGCTAATCTGCGAGTCGGCGCGGAGGTGGACTCCGAGCCGGAGCAGAGTCCGTGAAGGAGACGGTGGCGAGGTGGAAGAAACTGCTGAGAGGAGGGCCCACCTATCGATGACTCAAGGCGCGGGGCCGGTTGGTCAGCTGCACAAGAGAGAAAGGGAGGGTGCCTGCACTAAGCTGGGCCGGCCCATGGCGGGTGCGCAGGCCTGTAGGGAAAGGAAGGCAGCCAGCTGGGCCAACAGGCCGAGAAGGAGAAGGGAGAGAGAGTTGGGCCTCGCCTCTGGGTGGCCGGGCCGCTTGGGCCAAAAGCCGAGAAAGGAGGGAGAGTGAGGAAAAATAAATATGCAGCAGCATGTATGCACAAGCATGTAACTAGACCTTATAGTTGATTTTAATTTAACAAAAGCTATTATTTTCTAAGTTTACATGCGTACAAAATGCATAATTAAATCAAATTCACCTGTTTTAAAATGATGCAAATTTTAGGGTGTCACATAACGCGTCTCCTTTGTTGCTTTCTAGCGTAGTGCTATTTCTAGATACCAAGCCCCATCAAGCATGCACCTGTATTCCTCCTCATACCATGATTAACCATCAGGGTTTCATGGTTGGGCTCTAATAAAACTGGGTGCCGGCGCCTCTCCATCTCAAGTTTCTATGCCCTTTTCCTCTAACAATTCACCAAACGGAAATCTGGGTGGCAGTCAAAATCTAAACAAGCTATATAGTGCCACTGCTCCTGCGAGTTCAGTTCTACTCTGTAAATAGTCATGCTGAGGACTGGACTCTTCATCTTCTCCGCTCTTCCTACTCAAAGAGGAAAATTACACTGATTCTCAAATGTACATATACAACATACATGCACCCACATTCAGTTAGAGCCTAGTCTACCGGATCTGCTAACAGATATGGATGTGTACAATGAGTCTTCAGTAGCAAGTGCAAGAATTAGTATCGCTGCTCTAATACCATGAAAGAGGAAGAGAGTGTGATCCAATAGAACGAACTTCCATTGATTCTGAAGTGTACTTATATAATGCATGAATATGTAGTAGTGTTGACTGTATATTGACCAATTTAGATATTGCCTTCTTATTGTTATTGTTGTGTGTTTGTATATTACCTCCTATTGTTACTTTTGTGCGTTTAGATATGGGCATGTACAACACATGAGCTCTTGATCATTACATAATTCACATGCATGAGCCCTTTGATCATTCGAGAATGCACATATGAACTCTACTAGATATGTACAACACTTGATCTGATTGCACATTTAGACACATACAACACTTAATCTGAACGCTATTAGTATGCCATTGTCTTATCTAGTGTTAAAGAGTGTAATCTAGGACAAAATGACGTGCGTGCATATCCAGGATAGATAAGCACATCAATTATAGGATGATCTGTTTGTAGTATCGTATCACAACATGTATGCTTGAGCTTTTGTCGGCAGTGAGATCCGACAGGTTTCTTCTTCGAGGATGAGAGAGAATGAGAGAGATGGATATGTTGCTATATTTGTGTGTGTCATAATCATTTATGTGTGGTTGTTGTACCTTTGTGCTCATGTGGTAACAAAGCTAGCTAACTATTGACAAATGGTCATGACATGGAAAGCTCTTGACAACTACATTACGATCGGATCCTTATCGGGGCTAGCTAACTATTTAACAAAGCAAGTTTGTTACTGGGGCTGACTAGTATTTTTGTGGGCATCCTTATCTTCATATGGCATTTGGCATATATGAAAGTCCACTACAACAAGTTAACAAAAACCATGTCGATAAGCTAATCATTATTGCGCTCTCCTCTGGCCCGGTCGGATAGATCTATGAATATACACTAGTACTCAACTAGTCTCGCACACAGACACAACAACACAACATATAGCCATCTTCATTGACAAGCAGTAAGTTCACCTCCGTGAGCTCGAGTAGTGAGTATACATGCTTGATCACTGTTGATCTCTACTTCTCTTGCTAAACTGATTCCCCTCCTTCTGTATATATGTTCATATATTTGTGCATGTAGATGAGTTCCATTGTCATGGATGTTACCAGCAGCGAGAAGAAGACATCATGGCCCGAGGTGGTGGGCATGTCCATCAAGGAGGCGACGGAGATCATTCTGAAAGACATGCCCAACGCGTACATTCAGGTGCTGCCTATTGGTTCGCCTGTGACCCTGGACATTCGCCCTGATCGCGTCCGCATCTTCGTTGATACCGTTGCCAAGACTCCGATAGTTGGCTGATACAGTTCGACTTCTGCATGTCGTCTAAGGATGATGTACCCAATAAAGAAAGCCTGCTTTTATTTATACTAGTACAGTGCCCGTGCTAACGCCACGACTTTATTTCAGGGATGCACATGAGTATAGTTCAACTTTTACACATAAAAAGGTTTATTCGTAAAGGAAGAATTATAGTGAAAATTTTGAGAAATAATAATACACATTCGAGAGAATCTCTACTATATTGAGAAATATAGTAGATCTACGTGCACAATCCACATAAATCAAAGAAAGATTGTTACCTGCTTGATTGATTCAGTAAGTTTAATGCAGGATACAAGCATGTGACATAACCAAATGTTGGATCAGGAAAACGAAGAAAAATTATACAAGGTGCATCATTATATATCTATAGCAGAAGAGATTACGTTTTTATATATCGACACATCTCTACATAATGCCCATCTTATTTTAGACAATGACTAAATGGGTGCACACAATACCATTAACATAATCATCAAAACGAATCAAGGTAAACTGAAAAAAAACAAAAAGAAACAGAATCGTGACTTAAAGACTATCAGCACGTCACTCACGGTCACCTAGACTAGGAATGCCTAATGCTTTCATCTCCCACTGCACCTTTTCCTGTCTCCATGCGAAACTAAAACAATCAATATTTTTTCCAACCCTGCCTGCATGCAAAAAAAAAAGAATTATGTCAAGTACGAAGCCAAATTATGTGCCTTGAGCAAAGATGGTGAGTAGGACTCTGACAAAGAAAACACTTTGTAGCTTGGTGTTGAGGATCTGTCGACCACTGCGGTTTATCAAGTACGGTATTTGTTAAACTGAACATCAGCTCAACCATTCAAGTGAACATGACAAGTTCTTAGATTTTGCCCAAAATACCCATATAGAATTTGATCTGAAATTAATCAAGTTAGCAAGTCCGAAGCAACTGCAAGAAAGAATCACAAATCCGCGACAACCTTTCAATTAGAAAATTGCATGCCTTGAAATATGAAGAAAAATGACTATCTTTTGCACTGCTTGGATTTATGCAATTTATGAAGCAAAAATTAAGACGCTAGACTCATTAGAAGGGATTGCAACCGGAGGCATCATAATCAGATTGATTTGTCACCTTATCGCGATCGAGGGATGGGGGTATTACCGGATTTAATTAGCTTCCGGAGGGGTGGCCTTCTTGGCGCCAACACTCTTGTCGCTGATGGTTTTGTCCTTGTCATGAATTATAAGAATGGGTGAATAATAAGGTGGGTAATACAATAATACTAAAGGGTCTGGTAAGGAAGAAACGAAACTTGTTCCAATGCGTATGATTATGAGGCACTACCGGAAACAGAGACTTTGCCGAGTGCAAAATTCTTTGCTGAGTGTTAAAAATCGGGCACTCGACAAAGACCTTCTTTGCCGAGTGCTGCACTCGGCAAAGAATTGCACTCGGCAAAGAGTTCTTTGCTGAGTGTCAGGCACTCGGCAAACAAGGGCACTCGGCAAAGGACTTCTTTGCCGAGTGTCAGACTCTCGGCAAAATCTCTACACTCGGCATAGGCTGCCCGCGAAACGGTGTTCGGTCACGGCCTTCTTTGCCGAGTGCCTGCTGTTAGACACTCGGCAAAGATTTGATTTTTTTAAAAAAAATTCTTTACCGAGTGCCCCAGATCTCGACACTCGGCAAAGAATTTTTTTAAAAAAAATACTTTGCCGAAAGTGCCCTGCACTCAACACTCGGCAAATATTTAATTTTTTTATAATTTCTTTGCCGAGTGCTCCTGTAGATGCACTTGGCAAAGAGGAAATTTTTAAAAAATTAAAACCCTCTTTGCCGAAAGTGCCTTATGCCCTGCACTTTTAAAAAGACACCCTTGCCGAAAGTGCCATGCCCCCAAGACTCGGCAAAGTTTTTTTTTTTTTTTTGTTTTTGGCCTCAATTTTTTTGTGCAGCCCTTTTAAAGCACCAGAACTCCTAGTTACAATTTGAGGATTTTTGTGGTTTTTTGATATATTTAGTTACTTTATTTTGTTTACTTGAATTTTTAAAAAAATAGAAATTTGAACTGCACGTGAGTGTCTGAATAATAGAATTTAATGATTCAAAAATTGATAGTCATGTTAGTGAGTGTTGTGAGAGGCCGTATCGAGAGCAGATATCGAAATTTCGGACATCTTGTTCACGAAACATGTCCGTGAAATTCTTGGCGTGAAGTGTTTTTAAATCCTATAAAAGCAAAGCGAAGTCGAAAATCATGAAACTTGTTGAGATGTCGTGATATCATATGTGGAGGCTATGATAAAAAATTTCAGAAGATTTAGGTATGCGTTGTCACGCACGATGCTTACAAACCGAGACATCTCTACATGTGAGATCGATATCACATATGGAGATGTCCTAGTTTGTAAGCATCGTAAGTGACAACGCGCGTAAATCTTCTCAAATTTTTATCATAGCCTCCACATACGATATATATCACGACATCTCAACGAAGTTTCATAATTTTCGGACTTCGTTTGTTTTTTTATAGAATTTAAAACACTTCGCACGTTAAGTTCGCGGTCATATTTCGTGAACAAGATGTCCAAATTTCAATCCGCTCCTAGATACGGCCTCACACTACACTCAATAACATGACTATCATTTTTTGAATCATTAAATTCTATTATTCGCACTGTGCAGTTCAAATTTATATTTTTTCAAAAAAATTCAAGTAAACGAAATAAAGTAACTAAATATATCAAAAACCACAAAAGTCCCCAAATTCTAAGGAGGAGTTCTAGTCCTTTAAAAGGGCTGCACAAAAACTTAGAGGCCAAAAAAAAAAAAAAAAAAAACTTTGCCGAGAAAAGCCGAAAAAATGACACTTTCAAGAAAAGAGGCTCTTTACCGAGTGTAAAAATAAGACACTTTCGGCAAAGAGGATTTTTATTTTTTATAAAAATTTCTTCTTTACCGAAAGTGTCTCACACAGAGGCACTCGGCAAAGAAATTAAAAAAATTAAAAATTTACCGACGGCCGGATCGGAGCACTCGGCAAAGTTGCCTCCTTTGCGTGCCTCCCTGATCCGGCTTTCAAAAAAGGGCGCTGGTGGGGCACTTAGCCGATTTCGCCGGCCGGGCAGTCCAAGCCTCAGATGACCCACCACCATCCGCACCCACGCCCGCCCGCCCGCCCCCACGCCGCGCGCCTCCCCGGCCATACGCCGCGGCCCGCCCGCCCGCCCGAGCGAGCGCGCGCCGCCCTCCCGTCCCGTGCAGGCCTGTGCCCGCGGCCGCCCGCGTGCCGCCGGCCACCGGCCGCCGCCACCATCGGATCGCATCTCGCCGGAGCCCGCTCGAGGACCTCCGCGCAGCCCATCGCCGTGATCGACCTCCTCAAGGTACACGAGTCACAAGACTCTCTCGCTCTCCTCCGTTCGCTATTGATTCGTCATCCATTTCCTCTCCTTGCCGGGCCGAAGCCGTTATGAACGCCGCCGGCTGCCTCCGCCGCCGCGGCCGAGAGCGCCGAGGAAAAGGAGGCCGTGGCGCCGCGATGCGCCGACCTCTCCGACAAGAGCAGCAAGGAGTGCCGGCCACGAGCGGGACCTCGAAAGCGCCATGGAGTCTCGCGACGACCTCGTCAGTTGAACGACGATGACCTTCAAGACGCCTAAACCCGAACGTACATGTCGGGTTACCTCCTCTATTTTTTTCGATCTAATCATGCTACTAGCCTATATCGCTTATGTGCCTCGATCGATCGATCGATCTGTTTTACCGCTATGCACTAAAAGTGCGTCTAATCATAATTCACAAACAGCTAATGATGTCGAACCACTATAAGTCGTTGGGATGCATACAAGCTCGTCATTTGTTTTTATTATTCAGGGCAAAAGCATGTTTTAGAATTTTATTTAGGATTAACCCCGCTTAATCAGCCAAGATATATGTTTTTGATGATGTTCATCATATATAGATCTAAAAAGGCAAGAAAGTATCTGGTTAATACATGTAGCTATCCAAATCACTTGTAGGGTAAATTAACAAATCAGTTCCAATTATAGATATCAGCACGTATCAAGTACAAAGTTCAGGAACTGTTTTCTTATGTACTGTTATTAATCTACTATTGTGGTGCCACCATGAACCAAATTAGAAGCACATATTGGTAAAGAGTTAAGTGAGCATAAGCATGCTAGAATATATATTCAGCAATCTACACAAATTGAACAAGATATATGTTCATGTTCTATCTATCAACCACAATGTATCTCGCAACCCCTTACTTCATCCGAAACATTACAAAAAAAAAGGAAGAGCTCGCAATGTTCATCTCAATGAACTGTTGTTGTGTTTTGCATACTCTCCTCGCTACCATTACGGTTTGTAACTAATTAGCACTGTATTTCTATGGATCTTCAGTTTCAGGTGATTCTCCTTAATCATTTGTCCTCCTAAAATCCAGGTGATTCTCCTACTATTGCCGCCACAATAATTTTAAAGAATTGTGCTTAAAAGACTAGAGCTATGGCTTGTATTTTTTCGCATCAAGATGCCATCGCATATATTAAAATCCAGAGAATAATAATAAGGTTTGAGAAGCCTCTTTCAGATTATCGAAAGCAAATGTACAGAGTAGATTTATTATGGTGAGATTGCTAATGGATTAAATATTGTACATGTTCACTACAGCAATGTCGTAATAAGTTCTTATCTTAATTACAGCTTTTGTTCATGTACTGATGTTTCTGTAGGTGTTCAGAGTTGCAAACTAAATATTAAAAATGACTGGATACATGGTTCAGGTAAATCCGCTAGCATTTCATCCATATTTTTTCTGGGTTATTTATAGATTTGGTGATGCAGTGGGCTTCAGTATGCTTTGTGATAGAGCTGGCAGCAATGACCATATATCAGGTATTATTCTTAATGTGTGCAGATCCAATGTTTGTTTGGGGAATAGCTTACATTTGTAGTAAACACCACAAAGATAGCATTGTTACCTGACCATGGTAAA